TGTTGCATTTGTCCGTGTTATGGCCCTTCTTACGATGGTATTCGCAGTACGTATTCAGGCGGGTGCCCACCGGGGTTCCCTCGTCCTCTAGTCGTCCTAGGAGCCCTTGGTCCTTGATCTGCTCAAAGATCTGAAACACCGGAAGCACCAGAGGGTGTATTTGGGAGCCTTTTCCCACTGGGTATTGTTGCTCAGGGCATGGCAAGTTGATGGGGTGTACCCGCCGATCATCTTCTTTTTCTTGGTGGAGGGGATTCCACTGGCCTCGAGCCCATCCGATCCGCCATCTTGCGGGTCATGGCGGCTGGCGCCTTGTCCTTTTGGGCGATCTCTTCTTCGATCGCAGCATACTTCAGTGCTCTGGCCAGCATTTCAGCGTAACTGCTCTTTGGGTTCCTCTTCAGATCTTTGTTTAGATCCCCGATTGCTAAGGCATTTGTGAAGAGGGTGATGCTGGTGCACTCAGTCAGGTCCTCGACCTTCAAGGTCTCATCCCTCCATCGGATGAGGAATGCAGAGAGGGATTTCCCGGTGTCCTGGTGGACGCACGTCAGTGAGCTGAAGTGCTTCTCCAGGGTGGTGCTGGACGCAAAATGTGCCATGAACTGCCTCGATATTTGATCAAAATTGTCTATGATCCCGGGCCTGAGCTGCCCAAACCATTCTTATGCTAGCCCTCGGAGGGTGCTAAAAAACAGCCTGCAGGTGGCCTCATCGGAGGCTCCCAACGTGGATAGCTCACCCTGGAAGGAGAACAAGTGGGCCTCCAGGTCTCCGCCTCCATTGTAGATCAGTGCGCCTAGTGGCATGCAGTCCCGAGGGATCTCTGCAGCCATAATCCATGCAGAGAATGGGGAGGTGAGCGCGATTCCGGGTTGCGCCGCATTGTTCTCCGTCCGATGGTTCAACTCGTCGATCTGCCTCTGAAGGCCAACGAGCATTTCATTCCACGGATCGATGGGTGGGGCCATGGGGTAACCACCGTCAGAGTGTCCTCAGTGCGTACAACACATGTGTCGTGCTGCCTCTGAATGAAGCGGGCGTCTTACCCCTCCACATACTGGAACCGTGGTCCCACATTGCTTATCACGAGAGTTGTCTCCGTGTCCCGGTGACTGTTGCGCGGCATCACCGTAGTGCGGTCTCATGTCGCATTGTGTTGCCCCCTTGAAGGGCCTGGTCCCTCCATGTCCTCCCATAACAGGGGCATGGGGGGTTACACCGATCCGAGTGTGGACCGGTGTGCGAGATCCCGCAGTCTTGCCTGTTTGTTCGCTGAACGGCTGCATGGAGCGGATGGGGGAAAACGGCGTATGCTCGGTCTCCGCCGAGTACACGTGCTTCGCTTCCTGTAGGTCCGCCATACGTCGCATTGTATCAGCCAGTTCCCGCATGGCGTGAGGGTCCCTTTTGACTTCCAGGGGACTGAGCACCCGATGCTCGGGTGCGCGTCTTCCTACTGTTTTCCGGCCGCTCGGAAAGGTCATGGACATGTCCAAAATTGTTGCTCGCCATCTCGTTTGTTTGTAAGGTTCATCAAGTCCAATTTTTGGTGAGCTTGTTTTTGGAAGAACTTTTTGTTCAGTTTCCCACAGACGGCGCCACCGTTAAGGTTTATTCCTTCAACCCAAAGTCCTAACGCGTTCCTTTGGATCTCGAGTGGATGATTTTAGTGGATTAAGATATAAATGGGTTAGATATTCAGTAGCAAGTGGGTTGTATCTTATTAAATGATAATAAGGGTCCCTATACAACACACTTCAACTACTAGCCCCAGAGCTGTTCGTCTATCTCTATACTAAGAGCTGAGACAGTTGCTATTTGCTAAGGATATTAAGTTGTCAACCCCTTATAATGAAATAAATGTTACTACTAATACTACAAAGGGGTAGGTAGTATTGCTGATGTGGAAGATCGTGGATGGCTAGCTCCCAACCACCAAATCTACTGCATTAAATGCGACTCCTGTCAATATATGGTTTCCCGCCACGGTCTTGGACGAGCGTCCTGACGAGCTTGGCTTGAGGTCCTCGATGGGCCAAAGATGTACTTCTGATCGTAATGCCTTTGCAGAGGACGAGCGTCCTCTAATCAGTCAGGCTTGGGTCCTGTAATGCACAAGGACGTGGATCCGCACAGCCGGTGGACTTCAGTTATGGATCTCGCAAGTTCACCAAGATGAGCGTCTACTTAAGATGAGTCCTATAGCGGTTCTCATGTTCAAGGGGTAATGGGCCGAGCTGCTACCAGGCCTATTAACCCAACATGTACTATGGGCTTGACCCATAACCCGGATTCAAAATGGATATGTGATGTCGGCCCAGACTAAATTAGAGCGAAAGCCTTGTAATGTGATGCTCCCAGATTAACAGAAAAAACAGTCTAGAGGGGGAGAATAAGTTGTTCTTGGTTTCTCTTTTCTTGTGAGTCAGAAATGTTTGTCTCACAGAGTTGGTGCTATTCTGGACAAAATAGACCTGTAGCGGAATGGTAGTTCTGGTCGTGTAACCTACAGAAACACACTAAGGTAGAATGCCTTTCTGTAACTCTTAGAGCAAGATCTGTTGAACACAAAGTCCAAGCTCTTTAAAGTAAACCAATTCAAGTCATGGATGCAAGAAGTAAAAGCAGTGAGTAAGTGACAATATGAATTTTTATAGTGGTTTAAGGAATAACATGTTCCTCTAGTCCATTGTTCCACTAATTTTGTAAAAACTCTACAACATTTAAGTCCTTAACACTTAATACGCTCTCTATGTTTTCTTCAAGTGTAGTGTCCTTGTCATCCGAGATGCACTTCCTTTCTTCCTGGTGGTTGGCCATTTCACTGAGTTTGCTTGAAGTATCCCCACTTCACCCCGGTTACTTTGGCGCCCTTCTTTTGCAAGAAGAATACTTTGAAAGATTCAAAAGTTTTTCCTCTCACGCACTTCACATAAGATGTGTAAAATATGACATTAGTTCAAATAAAATAATAAACTTAGTTAAAAGATGTCCTTTTAAGATTTGATTAATGTTCATATCTTACTCTCTTAGGAAAATAATGAGGGCCCTTTTTATGGATATATTTCATGCCTTAGTCCTATTCAGGAAATCTTTTCTTGATAATCTATGTAAATTACGTTCTATTGATATTTTTGACATATTAATTTAACATAAACATAATTTGTATTATATAGTATATACTTTGCAATACTATTGAGTTGTATGTTTGCATTATCATCACTCAATTAATATTTTTTACCATTCAACACACTGGTGTAGGCTGACTGCAACTCACTGAGCGAAAATGCCAGCTTTGACGTTGTCACCCCAAATATGCACCTCACACGTATTCAAGGGTGTCAAAGTGGGGTACACGAGACAAATGGATTGGGGGGGAGGGAGGGGGGTTGATGCTCCGCTTGCACTGGTAGCTCAACGATCGCTGAGTGAGACTAATGAGATGAGGTCTCAGGTTCAATCCATCGTAGCGGTAGTGTGCGAGCTTTATTCAATGTGGTGACTACTTTTTCCCACCAGACCCTTTTGTCACCTCACTCATAAATTGGTTGAAATCATATTGTGATTTACCCTCCTCTGTCATTCTACCTGGTCAGGTGTGGGGGAGCTTTGGGTGGGCGATTCCACTCTTGGGTTTGGGATTAGATACCCCATTCACCCAAGAGAGAAGAGAGGAGTGGTACAAGGGATTCCAGACATGAGACCAGGAAAAGTTAGGATCTCAATTTTCTTTACATTGTCATAAATTTTTTATTTATACCCCCTTTAAAAAAATAGAGATAAGGGTCAAATAAGGTCTCTACTATTACAAAATCGTCACATAAGGTCATGTACTCAATAAAGTGTCGTATAAATACGTCTACTTATAAAAAGCAATCGGATGAGTCCTAACGACCCGTTGACAATCTCCTAATCCCGATTCTAGCTTACATGTCATTATTTTTACCTTGTATTTTAACCTATCTTAGCTAAATATTTCACGTATGCCTTATAATCTATTTTTAAAAGATAGTCAGATGTACGCTAAAACCGAGATTAGGAAGTTGTCAACATGTCATTAGGACTCATTCGATTGTTTTTTATAAGTAGCCATATTTATATGACACTTTATTGAGTATATGACCTTATGTGACGATTTCATAATAGTAGACTGTCTTATTTGACCCTTTTCCCTAAAAAATATATCAAAATTCATAAAATTTTGTGATCTTTCATACTCTGTATGACATTAATATTGAATATATACAACTTTAAAAAACATGAAATTTTATGTGCCGTAGATTCTTAGGCCCAAAAGTTTTGTTAAGTGGATTCAAGTGAAAAAAATTAAGATCTAAAAAATAACATGATATTTTCATTGGCGGAAATATTTTTAAATATTATTCAGTGACTTTTTAAAAAAATAAGTTTGAAGTAACAAAAAAGAAATAAATTCCATATTTATTTATTTTTACTCAAAATGTTTGAATTTTAAAATCATAATTATTTATAAAAAGATTTTGTCAAAAAACGGATGTACAATAATAAAAGAAAATCTTTTATTTAAAAAAAATTAGAGTAAATACATGGGTGGTGATGAATAGTATAAATAGAGTTTTTTTTGAGAGTATAAAGAGTATAAAAGTGGACTGTAATATTAAACGACGGATTGCGTGTTTTCTGGATGGTACCTGACGTCGTGATTATTTCCTTTCTTCCTTTGGTTTCTTCCCGCCTCCGCTCTGCCTGCCTTACTCTCTTTGGCTAGCATCCAAAACCTTGATCATAAAGCTCCCTGCTCTAAATATTTCCGCAGAAGATTTGGGTGAAATATTCGTGTATGGATATCTTTTTTTACTGTTACTGCTTTTGTTATGGTTTTCTACGGGAGATATTGAAGGGGTTTTTCATGTGAATGAAAGCTTTTCAAGAACCTGCCTGTCTACTTTCGGATATACATTTTGGAAAAAGGATTCTGCTGCGGCTCCGCTTGACACGGCCATCGCCGGGAGCCTCCTTTCCTCCTCCTTCATCTTCTTTGCGGTAAGATACGATTTAGATGTTTAATGTAAGTGTTCAGAGATCATTGAAGAATATCACGCCCTTAATGTTGAATGAACTATATAAAGAAATTGCTGCTTTAGAAAAAAGGGTTCAATCTATGGCTTGTTGATGTGATCGGTTTTGGTGAAAACCCCAGTCTTTTGAACCTCTCTTCTTTATAACTTTTGACAGAAAGGAAGATGTACACATCCTCCAGTTCAGGTAGGCCGCCGAAAACAAGGAGTCAATGGAGTGACTTCTATATGGATTACAATGAGGAGAAGAAGAGAAAGAGAAGTGTACTGTCTGAGTCGGATGAAGATAATGTGGTTGTGATTGAGGACGAGGAAGAGGCATGGAGAGGCGTGCAGGACAGGAGTGATGAGGTGGCTTTTGAGAGCAGTAGTGACGAGGACAGGGAGGAGACCAGAGGTGTAGTACAAGAGATGTCCTTCTTCTTTAATAAGGGGAAGAAGAAGGAGGGCTTGATAGATGGTATTGAGTTTTGGGAAGGTTCTGATGCTAAAGAAAAGTGGCACAAGGGGAAAGAAAAGGAAAAGAGCACAAACAGAGCTTTTGAACATGGATTGATGGGGGAGAGAAGGGCTGCAGCAGTGGGTTGTGGTAGCAGTAGTAGCCGCATTCAAAAGAGAAGGAAAGCCCCCGCAGAAATTGCTCTTGCACAGCATGGAGTGAAGAAGATGAAAGAGGCGAAGAAAGGCGCATTTGATGTCAGCACTATTAATAGGAGAAGACAGTTCACAGGAATGGCTTCTGACCAGAGCAGGCATGGACTGAAGAAGATGATGATGAAAGCAACTGAGAGAGGGAAGGCAAAGGCTGCACTGGGTGGCAGTAGTGTGAAGCAGCGAAGAATAAATAATAATAATGGCAAAAGGACAAGTCGTGATGATGATGATGATGATGTTATCTTTCTTGGGGAATCTTTCTCAGACAGCGGGATCCCGTTTAGAACCTCGTCAGAGTCTGGGTCCAAGGTTGGATCTGTGGGTGGAAGGAGCCCCGACATTGGCACATGCGGTGAAGTTGCTTCCTCAACGACCAAGACTATGTTTAAAGAAGCTGTTTTTGGCCCAGAGGAGGATTATTCAGATGCATCATCATTGGAATCCAGAGATTCTGAAGAAGAAGAAGAAGAATGTGATGATTCTGAAGATGCAGATTACAAGGACAATGCCTTCTCTTCTTCTTCCTCTTCTAGCTCGGGTATGGAAGAAGAAGAAGAAGAAGAAAATGTCCCCAAAACCAAGGCAGCTTCCAAGAAACACAGAAATAAACGAAAAAGGAATGAGAAACAGAAATCTAAACATACTGAGAAAGATTCTGCTCAGATCCTGCAAACTAAACTACATTCCGAGAATGAGAGACATAAACAAAAATGGTTTGATGAAAACCAGAAGCACAAAAGTGCTAGGGAGAAGCAAACATCTGAGAAAAATTCTGAGATCATCAGGACCAAATCAGCAGCAGCAGCATCCAAGAGAGATAAAAAGAAACGAAAAAAGATTCATGAGAAGAAGAAGAAGCACAGGAGTTTTGACCCTGAGAATGATGAGGAAATCTTCAAAACCACAGAAACTTCCAAGAAGGAAGACAAGGAGAAACACAAAAAGATTGATGTGCAGAAGAAGAAGCACAAGAATCTGAGTAGTTGGAAAGATGCTGAGTTCATCAGAGCTAAAGCATCTTCCAAGAAATGCAGGGACAAACACGGAGGAGGGAGTGATGAGAAGGGGCACGAAAAGTTTGATGATGCTGTGGAAGTTGCTGAAATCCTCAAAACCAAAGAACATTCCAAGAAAGACAAAAATAAACACAAAGGGGCTGGTGAGAAGAAGCACAAAAGTTTCGTAGATGGCAGGCCAGATTCTGAAATAATCAAAACTAAAAAAACTTCCAAGAAAGAAAGAGACAAGCACAAAAGGATTGGCAAGAAGCACCAAAGTGATGTTACCAATGGCGAGAAAGATGCTGAAATCCTAAAAAATGAAGGAACATCCCAGAAAGACGGAGAGAGAAAACATAGAGGGAGTGACAACAAGCGGCACAAAAAGGTTGGTGACGCTGAGAAAGATGCTGAAATCCTCAAAACTAAAGCATCTTCCAAGAAAGAGAAGAACAAGCACAAAGGGATTGATGAGGAACAACATAATACTGAACATGCTAAGATAGATGCTGAAGTCCTGAAAACCAGATCGACTTCCAAGAAAGACAGAAAGAAAAAGAAAAGGATTGGCGAGAAGCATAAAGAGGTTGATGCTGAGAAAGATTCTGAAAAGCACAAAACTAAAGCGACTCCTGAGAAAGACAAAGAGAAACAAAAGGGGGTTGGTGAGAAGCAAAGAAGTGCTAGTTCTGGGGAAGCAGCAGATTCTGGAAAACAAGAAGGGGTCGCTTCTCGCCTTAGGTCTCATTCACACTCCAAGTCTTCTAAGAAGGAAGAAACACAAAGTAGTAGTAGTAGTGATGGTTTGGGTGTTGGTTCTTCTGTTGGAGAGGTCAGGCAAGGTGGCGATGATGATGATTTGGAGAAAGAAAATGAAGAAGAAAAAAAGGATGTGGTTACCCAAACGACCGAAACGAGTAAGAGGAAGCAACCCCGGAGAAACCTTAACGTCAAGAACATTCTTTTAAACACAATGTTAGAGAACAAAGGCAAGTTTAATGAGACAGTTCCCCTTGCTGAGGAGAATATCCCGAAGCAGCTACCATTGAAGTTCACGTTTTATGAAGACGATGTGGCTCCTGACAAGGAAGAATGGGAGTTTGAGATTGACAATCTCTTTGCAGATTTTCAAATGGGCCGTCTGCAATCTGAGATCGGGTCAACTGCTAAACCCGTGGTTAGTTTACTTGTACTTTCATCAAACCATTTAATAATTTTATTGCTGCACGTCTAGAAATTGTGTTTCTCAAGCATTAATGGTTCTCGTTATCAGTTTTCATGTTTTGCTACACAATGTTATGTTCATAGCAGTTACAAGTCAAAGATGTTAAATGTATTAGTGTTTTATTTGACACATAATGTGTGGATTTTAGTTTTTTTTGTGCAATATGTGGATTTTAGTTAATTATGAACATGTGTGTACATCTATGCCTATTGATGTATACATGTGAAGATTATGATGATTATCTCCTTCCATTTCCATGCATTTACTGCTGCCATTTATCAGCAAACCTTAATATCCCTGCCATCATTTTAGTGAAATTCCTCATAGTATTGAACCAAGCGGAATGTCAAAATAAAAACTAGTCTTTGATTCTTTCTGTGCCATTAATTAGCAATTAATTTAGGGAAGCAGAAAGGTGGGTTGGTCGGGGGAACTTTTACGGGACTGGATGGAGGAGTGTTAGTCTTAGGCTAGAGAATTATATGTTTAGTTAGTAATGTATTTCTATATAACTTTTCATATTCATTCTCTTTCCAACCATGTAACTTCCCGTTGTTAATCAAACAAGGGTTGAAGAAAGCATGGGAAAATGGCGCTTTTAGTGTTTCAGTGTTTTGTGATCTTGGATATGCCTTGCTCTTAAAATTAAGAGGCTACCCAGCATTTTAGAACAGTGTAGTTGATAGGGCATATAAAAAACTTCTTGATGTATTTATGCTGTCTTTCTACATTTCTGAAATGAAGGATTAAGTGTGGTGGTATATGAGTTTTAATAATGCACACGGCATATATGTTTGTGCTCGTAATGTTTTGCCTCCAGGATGGGTGGAGCATATAAAACAACACACAATGTTAATTATCCTTTTCAGTACATTTATGTATTAAGAAGGATAAAGTGTGTTGATGGTCATCATAAAAAAGTAATGGAAGGTGATTGATGCATCCACCCTTTCCACATTCTGAAAACATAGAGCTAGCGAGCGAGCTAATTATGGGTAAAATGTGAAGTCTTGATGGAACATTTATATATTTTTGGTGATGGATAATCAACCAGGTAGCAAACAAAATTGCTGATGATGCACAACCCTGTTGGCATCCAGAAGGGCATCTTCATATCCTGGATGAACAAATCGGAATCTTGTGCAAGCATTGCTCTGTCGTGTTCTTGGAAAGCAAGCACATATTACCAGAATTTGTAAGTAGGGTGGGATTCAATGGGAGCAAATGTGCACTAGTTGAATTAATTTGCTAGTGGGTAACTAATACTTACTGTGTACAATAATGAATAGGGGGGATGGATAATGGATAATGTGCCATAGGGACTGGACTAAATGAATGCATGGTTGGTGGTGGTGGTTTGTGCAGGCGAAAAGACCAACAAATTGCAGGAGGAACGAACGGGGGAGATTTAATCATCTCTACGGAGAAGCAGAGCAGTCAGCAGGGGATATGGAGCTAGATAACATGCCAAGGAACGACCCAACGTCCTCCTCCTCATTTCACGGAGCTGGAACAGTATGGGACCTCATCCCCCGCCACATAAAAGCCAGAATGTATCTCCACCAACGCCAGGGCTTGGAGTTCATATGGAAAAACATAGCGGGCGAGCTGGTCCTGGAGAAACTGAAAGATCTAAGCAGCGGTGGGAGAGGATGCATCATCTCGCATGCACCCGGAACGGGCAAAACGGGTCTCACTGTCGTCTTCCTCCAATCATTCATGAAACTCTTCCCGCTGTGCCACCCCGTCGTCATTGCCCCACGCAGCATGCTTCTCACCTGGGAAAGCGAGTTCAAGAAGTGGGACGTCGACATCCCTTTCCACAACCTCAACAGCCACAGACTGTCGGGGAAGGAGGACGTGGAGGAGGTGCACATCCTTAGAAGGAAGGGGAAGGACATGAACCGACTGCTGAAGCTGTATTCTTGGGCCAAAGGGTCCGGAATCCTGGGGATCACGTACCGCCTTTTCGAGCAGCTGGCAGGTGGGACTTCATGCGAGGAAGAAGACGAGAAGATGAGAAAGATCCTGCTCAAGTTTCCGGGGCTGTTGGTTCTGGACGAAGGGCACACCCCGAGGAACGAGGAGAGCCTCATGTGGAAGGCGCTATCCAGAGTGGAGACGCCACGCCGGATCATCCTCTCCGGGACTCCATTCCAGAACAACTTCCACGAGCTGTACAATACATTGTCGCTGGTATGTCCAGAGTTCACGGTGGGGTCCACGCCCGGAGGCGTCCGGTCTAGTGGCTCAAAGAAGAAACAGCAGCAGCAGCAGCTCATGCGGAAAGGGATCCGTAAAGGTACGTATACAATAGTAGTAATAGTTACCTACTGCTGACTTATTTTATTTCTTTCTTTTTTGGGGCTGTTCCAAAATAAAGATTGTTACTAGTTTTACGAGATGAGAGTAGTATGCATGCATGTAAAAAAACAAATGAATATGTATATAGATAATGAATGCAAAATGATTAATATATATGCATATATGCAGGAAGAGAGAACTGGGCTTCAATAACGGGGTCGATCTTGAACACGGAAAACGAGAGGAACGTGGAGGAGCTGAGGCAGTTGATTGGGCCGCTGGTGCACGTGCACAAGGGAACGATATTGCAGGAGAAGCTGCCGGGGCTGATGATCTGGCAGGTGTACTTGAAGCTCACCCCGACCCAGCAGAAGCTGCAGAACATGATCTCCAGCAAACACTTCATGGAGCAGGACAACTGGATGACCCTGATATCCGTGCACCCTTCGCTGGCCCCAGAGGGCGAGGCGCGGGGGGTGGATGAGCTGGACCCCGGTGGGGGGGTGAAGACGCGGTTCGTGCTGGAGCTGGTGAGGCTGTGCGATGGGCGGGGCGAGAGGGTGATCGTCTTCAGCAGGCTGCTGGAGCCACTGACGCTGATCCGGAGGCAGCTCCTGTGTCAGTTCACGGGTTGGGGCGATAGCCGGCAGGTGCTTTACATGGACGGGAAGATCGACGCCAAGTACCGGCAGGAGCGGATCCGGTCTTTCAACGACCCCGAGAGCGAGGCGAAGGTGCTTCTGGCGTCGACGGCGGCGTGCTGCGAGGGGATCAATCTCATCGGCGCGTCGAGAATAGTTCTTCTAGATGTGGTGTGGAACCCGTCCGTGACCCGGCAGGCCATCAGCCGGGCTTACCGCCTTGGACAGACTAAGGTCGTCCACGTCTATAACCTCATCTCCTCATCCTTCGAGGCCAAGAAGTACGCCTGCCAGGCCAAGAAAGACAGGATGTCTGAGTTGGTTTTCACCGCTGACCATGATCATGAGGAGGATCATGATCATGACGACCAGGACCATGCCATGCTCGTGCCCGCCGCCGCCGATCATGACATGATATTGGACGCCATGCTCGGGGATCCTGCTTTGGCCACTATGTTCCACAAAATTGTGCGCCAGCCCAAGAATCAGCAGATGTTGTGGCCGGAGCCCGGACCGGAGTTAACTAACTAATTAATACAAGTAATTCATTGTTGGTACGACGAAGTAATATGATACGACGTACAAGGCCGGACCGTTGCCGCTGTTGCTACGTACGTACGGGGTACATTGATCAAGGAAAAATTAGTACGAAGTACTGATTTTGACATCTTTGTTCTACGGTGCAATCCTTAATTTGGTGTGTTTTGGTACATTCTTTTTAACTAGGGTTGGACTCGGGTCCGTGCCGGGTCCGGCCTAGGCCCGGGCGGGCCGGCGGTTCAGGAATGGTGGACCCGGGACCGGCTCGGGTAGCCACCGGGTCCGGTCCGGGTCCGGGCCGGGCCTCTGGTTTGGGTATTTTTTTTTTGCTTTCCTAACCCCCCCTCACCCCCACCCTCCCAAACCCCCCAAACCCCTCCTAACCATCAACCCCAACCTGGGTGGAACCCCAAAAAATGAAAAAAAAATTCAATTTGGCCCAGACCCGGGCCCAACTCGGCCGGGCCGGTTCGCCAAAAGTGAGACCCGAGCCTGGACCTGCACTACCCACCGGGCCTAGGCCTGACCTGGACCCGAGAACCGGGCCGGTCCCGGTCCCGCATAGTAGCGGGCTGGGCCGGTCCACGGGCCGGGTGGCCCGACCCGAGTCCAACCATATTTTTAACCACCCATTATCCTTTTTAAACACCCATCACATTACATCTTAATCTTACGCCACCTAATGTCCTCATTAACTACACATAATAATTTGTCATTTTTGTATTTGGATCCTTCACCGGATTAGAAAAAAAAGTTAAACTGAACAAAATCGTCAAAGGAGATTTATTTAAACAGGAATAAATAAATATTTAATTGTCAAAATATGTGCAAAGTTTAAAAGTATTCTAAATAGGAATTATTATTTGTAGTTGGATAGGAGTACGAAAGTACCCCTTGAAGCTTGACAAAACTTAATGCAGCCGACCGTCGCTGTTGACCGCCGGTAGCCGGCGCTACACATATGGTTGATGCCTCTGTACATCTGGTCAGAATCGGTCACCGATCTGACCACCAACATTGCACATCTTGCCATCAACCACCACCGTACATCAGGCCAGATCTGGCCACCGCCGGCGCTAAAGACCCGACCTCTGCCACTAAAGATTTGGCTGACGCCGCGGATTCGGATCACCAGCATAGGGAACTAGGGGGCAATTGTTTATAGGTTTAAATATGCTTTTAGGCCCTGTAATTTTTTTTTTTATGTTTTTCATCCTTGTAGTATGCATTATTTGGTTTTTAGTATATCACTAAAAAAATTCATCCCTATAACATATTTGAGAAAAATATGAGAGTTAAAAGAATAAAAAACTAATTACTCACATTTTTAAAATACGTATTAAATTCCTTTAAAACATAAATACTTTTTCAACCATACATTAAAGGATTATAGGAATTCTATTAGTCGGGGTTATTTTAAGGTCAAACAAATGTTATTATCATCTGTGGTAGACTAAAAGAAAATCTAACATACATTTCACAAATAAAAAACAAAAAATCAATTTTGCAGGGATGAAAAACAAAATATACTATATTTGCAGACACTAAAAAAATATTTCATGTATATTAGGAAGGACAAATAAAACTGTACATATTAGGGCTGGCATTTTGAACCGAAAAACCGAAAACCGAACCGAAAATAACCGAACCGTTTTAGAAAAAAACCGAACCGGACTGAACCGAACGAAATTGGGACCCAATAATCGGGACCCGAAAAAAAATCGGTTCGGATTCGGTTTATGTGCACAAAATATCGGTTCGAACCGAACCGAACCGACATTTTTATATTAATAATAATAATTGTTATTTATAATAATAATAATAATTAATGACGAAAAATATAGTAATAATATAAACCCGAGTATGGTTTGAACAAAGATGACGAGTAGCGGAGTTGGTCGTTGTACTCCTATCCCCAGCAAATGGTCGAGGGATCGATTCCCGTATGCTTTGTAATGTTTTGTATTTTTAGAATTTGGTTTCTTTCTTCTTCTATTCTGTCCCACACCGGAAAATGAGCAGCTTACTACTCCAAAAACTTCAATATAAACCAGGTTCCCTTATTGTAGGCTGCTAAGATACGTTCTAGGCTTCCAATGGGGCTCAAATATTGGAAAGTTCCAATGAGCTTTAGTCTACTGAATATTAGTTCAAATTTATTTTTTAAAATTGAGTCGGTTTTTCGGTTCCCGGTAAACCGAACTGAATAATTCGGGCCCCAAAAATCGGTACCTGTTCTTAATACGGTTCGGTTTCGGTTTTTGTAATTTAGTAAACCGAAATATCGGTTCGGTTCGGGTTTATACTAAATCGGTTCGGGTCCCGAACCGAACCCAGCCCTAGTACATATAGTACCTATTTAAAAAATAAAAATGTACATATAGTCCTATTTAGAAATTTAAGAAACAATTTAATCATATTTAGGCTAATAACTCACTCCTCAGGTTGTCGTTAATCATTGGCACCAAATGTGATTGAATAAGAAAGAGTGTGTAGCGGTGCATTGAAAATTTAGGAGTACATCGTAGAATTTTCCAAATTACTATTGCCTTTAATGAATTCCAAAAATCAATTAGTTACCGCTTAGTTTGTTTGGATCTTTTGCCCCCACACATTAATATTTGTTAAATCAAATTTATATAATTCTTAAATTCAATGAAAAATGTTTATAAAATTAATTTTTGAAGTAAAAAATAAATTATTATCATAATTATAAGACATTGTCGTTGATCGTTTATTTCTGCGTAGCTACTCCATCAAAGAATAAATATTATTGAGCGTAGTTAAGGAAAACTACTCACAAGTAAGATATAAAATATGAGAAATTTACTGTAATGTGACTAAAACATACTCTGTATCAAGTTTCCTTAAATATGACTAAATTTGTTATTATCCCGAAACATGATTACAAATTGAAAAAAAATCTGGTTATATTGAAAAGTGAAAGGACAAAAATATCCTTATTTAAAAAAGACTCATTTTACACTACTTTCATTCGATTGAAAATACTACACCTTAAGCACGCGTTAATACATTACATTTACTGCACTTTATGCTAACGTTGATTGCACGACATATAATGCATTTCATGCACTTAAGTTATGATACTTAGTTTATCATTTTTTTTAGTTTTGATAACTTTAGCTTTTACATTTATCTAAATATACTGCACTCCATGAGAGTTATGGCACGACATTACAAAAAGGGAAACTGTCAAATTAATTCACGTACTATCTTGAAAAAGTCAATTAAGTCCATGTACTATTTTATCGATGGAGTTTTAACAATCTCGACCTGAAAGATAGACGAATTATCAATCCGGGACATGAAATATGAAATGTATCAGTATAGGACTCGAAAGATGAAAAACTATCAATCTAGGATCTAACATTTCATAGGTTTTGATTTATTTAATTTTTTATTAATTCCATTGCTAATATTTGGTGAAATTTTCTTCACAAAAATTTATTAGTTTAATAAAACTAAATATTATTTAAATTTTATAAAATGAAAATAATAATAAAATTATTGAAAACTTAGGTCCTAAATTGACAGTTTTCAATCATTCGAATCCTAGATCGATAATTTTCCATCATTCGAGTCCTATATCGATACATTTTATCTTTCAGATCACGACGTGGATGCCACCTAGACTTTTTTTATACCTTTTCCTTCTTTTTTACCTTTTCTTTTTCCCTCGTTTTCCCTTTTAATTTTCTTTCCTTTCCCCTTTTTTCCTCTGGTTCGTCGTCCCCCTTATTCATCGGCCGTCGTCAACTCCCCCCTTTTTCATTCCCTTTTTTTCTTTTTTCCCTTCTCCAATCTCCCTGCAACTCCCTCTCCCCTATTCTTCAATCTCATCTTTTTCTCAGCTGCTTCTACCCCACGCCCCCACCCAATTCAACCTCCCCCTCCCTTCACTCTTGCAATCTTGCCCACCCCCTTCTCCTTTCCCTTTTCTTTCTTTTTCCTCTTCGTTTTTCTCTTCTTCTCCACTCAACCTTCTATCCACTTTCTTTCATTTCATGCCCAGAGAAGGCAACCCGACGAAAACCCGACGAAAACCCTTGCTCTTCTCCGATGGCAATCAGACGGCGACGGGGAAGGTGGCGGCGGAGCTTGTAGCCGATGGAGACAGCGGCGGCACAGATCGACGGGGTTGACGGCGGCAGAGGCCGACGACATAGATATATGGAGAGGTAGAGAAGGGAAGAAGCAAGAAAAAAGAGGAGAATAAAGAAAGAAAAGAGAAAGAAGGAAGAGGCGAAGAGAATAAGAAAAGAAGAAAAGGGGGAAGAAACATGAAGAGTTGCAGGGAATGAGAAGAAGTTTTTTTTTTTTAAAAAAAGAGGCTCTAATGCCACATGGACGGGCCAAATCAGCGCTTACAAGGGAAAAAAGCCACGTGGATGTCCATGGAGGCAGATTAACAGGGAAACCATTCAATCACCGGATAAAAGACAAAATTGGTCATTTTTTGTAACTTGGTGGACTTAATTGGTTGAAAAAACAGTATGTGGACTCAATTGACTTTTTCGACATAGTAGATTGACTGATTTGATAGTTTCCCCTTACAAAAATGTTAGGATTTTATAATTCTTTTTTTCCTTTATAGATTTGATAACATCACTTTATGCCAATGCTAATGCTCTACATTATTTAACTTTTTGTCATAATCACTTTATTTATAGTCATATCATTGCACTTCTTGTCATGATCACAGCACTTCTTATGAAATTCACGGAATTAAATACAAATTATTCACTGCACATTGTCTTCAATTCTTCACCCTAGGGTTCATCTTCAACCTTGAGTTTGCCTTCAACCTCGGTCGCCTTGGCTGAAGAATCTGAGTTGTTGGAGCAGCGATCCAGCGCCATTCTTTGGGAACATTAATTACCAACCCTAATTTCATTACCTAGAAGAAGAACCCCTCAAACCTTTATCTCAAGTGGAAAGTGAGCAGGCATGCGGGTTGGTTGACCAGGCAATGATCGCGAGGACGCGACGATGCGGCGAGACAGAGGCGGCGGCGGGTGCGGGCTAGACGAAGAATGTGAGCATGCGGTTGTGCGGATGGATGGAGGTGACGAGCAGGCGGCTGTATGGCTAGGTGGCGGTGGGGTGACAACG